AAAAACTGGATAAAGATCGGATAAGAGAGCTCAACATCCAAAACTTAAGGGTAATTTGCATAAACGGTCACAAACCTTTGCACTTAGTACAAAACTTAACCAACTCCTCACCCTTTAAGGCCTTAGGCCACTCAAATCCCACAATATCAATGTAAAATCAAGACTGAATTAGAACCGGGCCGGATCAAAACCGGACCGGATCAAGACCGCACTGTATCCAATCCAATCTTCGGTCCTTATATTTTCAAAAAGACCGAACTGGACCAGATCAATTTGAGCCAATTTAACCGGACCGGACCGTATAGCCACCCCTACTATATAGTATATGTTCGCATTTTAACGACTCTGCGATTGAGAGATATTATTATTGGTGGTACTTGGTAGTGGTTTTGATTTGTGAATTGTCCTTTGAGAGACCTAATGTAAATTCCACTGTGTGTGTGGGGGACTGTGATTGTGGTTGTGCAGTGGTGGGTGAGTGGGTGGTGGTCCATTTATGCTTCACTATTGTGGACAAGATCTTGCACCACACATCATTCTGAATCACATAATAATGCCCTCCCAATAATCCAGTACTGCTTGCATTGCAGCTTATGATCTGACCATTAGTTGAATTTTAGGTACCATAGCTACATAATAATGATAATAATATATCTGGTATAGTGTCAGCACTATTAATCTGGTTGAACATATACATAATGGTCTTTGACGTGAGTTTCACATGCAAATGGGACTAGCTGGCAATGCCATTTCCTAACTAATCCCTTTTGCTATCTGGTCCATTGGCAAATGCTTCCCTATAATAGAGACTTAGGATTCAAGGAGACCAAGCTAATTTCACCTTGAAAGGGACAATGCTGATAATCTGGGTTCAGCGAGACTCCTGTGACTTCAAGTTGGCGGAAGATAATGTGTCTTCAAACTTCAAAGTCACACCAAAATATATACATGGTTTGAATGAGATTATCAAAATCCAGTTGCTCTCAATAACTCGAGTTGTTGGGAGATCATGTTCAATTATGGATCTTACACCATTTACTAACATGACCCATTAAACTCAAGTCACACTCGTATGAGCTTAAAGTTTGCAAAGTCCTGAAACTGAGTCAACATGATTTGAATCGAAAAATCTCTCGATCACAAAAGGGTATGATACCATGTGCTTCACAATACGGGAGTTGATTGATGAGAACTGATAAGTGGTATGCAACTGCAATTATAGTACCGCATCCTACAGTTACTAGTGTGGGAAGGGGGGGGGGGGGTCAAATCGGTTTCGGATTTTTCAATTTCAAACCCCAATATGTGATGTACCGGTTTCAGTTGCCTTGTAACCCGAAATCCGATAAGGACCCGTAAAACCTGATAAGAAAGTATGAGCTCTCAATTTAGACCGGAGAGGAATGTATTGGAGTTTGCTGCAACCAAACCAATCCAATAAGGGAGTTTTAGGGTTGTTTTCGATTTTGTGGGTTTCAGGTTTACTGCAACCGAACCCAACCCGATAAGGGAGTTTTCGAGTTGTTTTCGGTTTTGTGGGTTTCAGGTTCGGTTACCCGAACCGACACCCCTAGTTACCAAAGATGATAGTTAAACTAGTGCGTCATGATAGAGGCTTATGTAAATCAGAAAAAGGCTACTGGTTACTGTTTAGTTTATCCCTTCTTCTGGATCGAAATGAGCTGATATTTTGTACAGCCAATCCATGCACCACACGAAAATATGTCTTTCACTGCAGTGATGATTCATGATGATGATGATCAGCTCAGCAGCAGCAGCAGATGGGGTCGATTTTGCTTCCTCTCCAATCATTCAATATGATTCATCAATTTTAATGAAAGATGGACGTTAACAGATTAGTCAAATCTTGGCAACGAGGATACAGCTAAGACCCCATGCCTGCTCAGTAATCAAAAGGCAAAAGACCCTAAAAACAGCTCCCAAAACCTATCGGCCATGTGCAAATCCTCTTCTAGGAGGCCTAGAAAGGTTTCCATACCACCTAGATTTATGCTCTTCTTCTTATGATGATGGTTATTATTATTTTTTTGGATTAGTAGCCAACAGATCTAATTAACCTTTACAAGTATTCTAACTTCCATGATATACAAGTCTTTGATATCACAGATCAATAATGATGAAGAACTTAATTACCATCTATGTAAAATCTTAATCTCTGACTCACTGTGTCGAACATTGATTCTCCTGGTAGTAGAACGAGGGACCACGATGTAATAGTTGTATAGGTCTAATGCTACTATGATTCCGTGAATATTTAGGAAACTCATCGTAACGAGTGGTTCAAACTGATAACCTATCCGATCAGCATCGAAAATTATTTTTTCAGAGTGACAAACAATATAAATTACCTAAAATAGATCTATATCGCCAATTACTTTTTAGAAGTAATTAATTATGTCAAGATATATCAACGTGAAATTTCCCTGTGCGCATAAATTCATTGAATCAACCACTTTTTTTTTTTGGACAAATTGGGGCACTTTCATTCCAAATCGAAACAGTGGAAGTACAGTTGATTACAACAAAGGAGACAACAGATCGACAATAATGATCCAATCTCGTGGGAGAGCACCTAATCTAGCATTACGAGCAACCCAGTCGGCTAACAGATTGTGACGTCTAGGAACAAACATCACTTTCACCCACGGAGCCGAGACGATAATGGTCGAGACACGAGCAAGTAAAGCCCGACATTGCCAAGACCACTGGGTCGGAACAAGCTTCAGAGCATTCACCAAAATCTGACAATCTGATTTGACACAATCTGATTGAATCAACCACGTTGATGGCCTTAATTCAATACATAATACATTTCACTTTTTTATTTCTTCCGAGACGAAATTCTCTTTTACACAAGAAGAAATCATATATAGTTCAAAATAGCAAGCAAGCATTTGAACGTGAGAATGATTGGCTCTGTGGGCAGGTATTACGAGTGGTGACGATGGATCGAGTGGATGGATTTCTTTTAAATTTTAAATAATTAACAGTGCGTAGCCCTATATTTATAATATGATAAATAACAATTAATTATGGGGGTTGGGCAGATCGAGCAGAGCAGATTAAAATAAATTGCAGGATAAGAGTGCATCTTTGACCACGCCGAAATTGGGGTCTGTCTGATTACCTTAATAAAATACCAAAAATGATACAGCTCTTGGGAGGCGGACGGCTCCTTGGATCTGCTAATCATAATACTAATACGGTTTAATTATCACGGTTGAGGTGTCAAATAATTGAATCTGTTGTATCATATGATTGATCCTCACGTTCATTGTTACTAGTGATTTACTATCTATAATTTGTTCTTAGTTTTTAGGCAAACTTAGTAAAATTGATCACCATATGCCTTAAATATATATGGTTCCAAATTCCAATCTCTCCAATCTTATATATCTCTATTTACATTATCCCCCCATAATTTTGGAGAGATATTTCATTAATTGCACTTATATGCACTTGTTAATTCGATATTCCAACCATCTCAATGATAATACTTAACCATAAATAAATACAGATAATTTCATACAATTGTATGGGAGTTAAAAGTTTCGCACTAAACTATGTGCTAAATATTTTATTTGGGGAAAAGGTTATTCCATGGCATATAGTTAACACAATAGTTTATTGGTACAACATTTTTATAGGTGTAATCATTGATAAAAACTATAATGTTAATGGATGAGGGGAAATAATTGGGCAGGAATGTATTCCTTGTGGAGAAAGCATTGAGAAAAAAAAAAGAAAGGGGTTGGTTTGTGAGTAGGGAATAGGGAATGGAACAATAAATATAATGTGGATTGAGTTGGAGGACCACCATAGCAATACAAGGGCTCATGAAAAATAAGAATAAAATACATGCAATTTATTAATTGATGTCCAATTCCACCTCTTTCAAAAAAAATTGTCCGGACTTTTTTTTAATTATTTTTGACGATTTATTTTTTATTTTTATATAACGAAGTAAAAAAAAAATACGAAGATAGATCATTCTTGTTGAACCAAATTAGGAATCAAATTATGTTGACCGAAAGATTTCATCCTCCTACAGCTACAAGCTGGCTAATTAATTAAATAAATAATGATTTTGGAAAACTAAAAAAAAAAAGATACACTATAGTTTTAATTCCTAAGATTTTTATTTGAACCCCTCTTTTCCCCATGTGAAATGGCTTGTGATGAAACAGAGGGTTACATGGGCTCTCTACCAAAGAACAACCAAATTACCCTACAAAACAATTAAAAAGGGCCCAAAGAAAAAGGGAAGAAAAAAAAATGGAGTATTTTTATTTCCCTCATCATTGGATATCTCCAAGTCCAGAGAGAGAGAGAGAGGGATGTGTGTTCTTATAATGAAGAGAGGCTCCCCCGCCCCACAGCCTCGCTCATATACACAGAAAGATCGAGCGAAGAAAGAAAAAAAAAAAAAAAAAAAAAAGGGAAGAGGTTTAGTTTGAAGAGATCCATCCATGGAAAAGATGGAAGTTAAGAACTGCGACTAGAGGAGGCATCCAAAGGGATCGCATTGATCCTAGAGAAAAAGCTCGTCCGTCTCGGATCATGCTATCCCTTTGGATTCCTCCTTTGGTAGCTAATTATATCTACTTCGCCGTCGGCCGGCCGCGGTGGTTGGTGGCCGGCCGGCCGGCCTCAGTCGCTCGCCGGAGAAACTACAATGCTACCTGCAGCAGATGATGCCACGCATCATAGAGTAACCTCCCTCTCTCTCTCTACTAGTTTTCCATGCACAAAATCGTCTCGTCATCATCGATCGTGAGTTGGGTTGATTTCCAATTTTTCATACTCTCACTTCCTCAATTTTTTCACAAAAACCAATCCGATTCCTTGTTCCCAGGAGAGAAATCTTTTTGTGTGTGTGTTTTTTTTATAATCAGTCTATCGATCCGATGATATCCCTGTTCATGAATATTCGACAAACTTCTCAGAATAAAGATTGAAGCTTTCTGCTCTACTTGTGACCATCAAATATTATTTTATTTAGGCCCGAATTCTAAATTTCCATCAAGCATTCTACTATGTCTGGGTTTTTATTTTTCGATCTGGTCTGTTTCGATTCGAATCTTTTGAGTAGCCTCTCTCTTTGTTAGATCATCTACCTGGTTTGTTTCTCTCGTGTGCATACTTTCAGTCTTCGTATATCATCACTACTCTTTCCATGTTAGAGGTAAGTAGAGTATGTAACGGTAATTTTTTACTCCTTGTCTTTATGCAGTAATACCTTTCTATTGCGGTTAAAACAAGAACAAATATATATATGCCTTCCTATTGTTAACTCATACGGATATTTCTTCATCTTAAAAGCCTAACTTTTTAGTTTTTACTATTTACATGCATGATACGACATGATTTCATTGACCCCAGAGCTTGCGTGAGAACATATTTTTTACCCCACATGAGAGACCATCTTCTTAGCTCTGATCTCTAGCTCTGGTCTGGTGGACCTTTTGCCCTACCATTTACTGCTGCTACATGCTTCCAATGGATTGATTTCACCTTTTCATCGAAAAAAAGGACCAATCTTTCTGTTGTAAAATTCATCATTACTATAGTAATTAATGATTTCAGGGAGGGACACTATGTATCATGGTAATTCTAATTCCATACTTTCTGTCTAGTCTTATGGGGAACACCATACAATAAATAGTCATGCTCTTGACAATCCTTTCTTCATAAATGATTATCATTCATCACTACACCACCACATTGTTTGTTTCATTGATTGTTGGTCCAAAGGTTTGAATTCACGGGGTCCAGGATGTACCACGACATTCTTGGTTTCGAGGTTCTAACTATTTGTTTTTTAAAAAAAAAAAATTATAGATAGTGGTGATATATGTTTGTTTTTATTCTAAGGTGCTACTTAAGGAATTCAAATCTATGATCTTTAGGTTCAAGACTAATGATAGTATCACTCGGCCAAGTCCTTGTGGACCAACATAATGAGTTATTGGATGATTAGGTGATTTAGCAAGTTTTGAGTAGTCAACTCGTACGCCTTGAAGTTTGCACAAGTCTAAATTGAACTTCTTCCTACAAATCGAGCTATTGAGGTCAATTGGTTGTTGACATGGTATTAGAGTCTTTGATGATTGAAAGATCTTGTTTTTGAATCCCGATGATCTCTATTTATCAATGACAGTATCCATACGTATGCAAACTTCTATCCCATATGAGTTGGCTTGGGTTTGTTCTCGACAGTTATGGCCTGACTTTCACTTTGGGGACTTAGATGGAGTGTCGAAAAGGTAATTAAAAAACAAGGCCTAAAGATTAAAGGGTCTCTTTTGGAGATGATCCTACAAATGTGTGGCACATGTGCCCCAACATTCTACTAAGTACTATTTAGTTAACAGGAAAATTGCTTCTTTCTCTTGCTTTTTGTCACATGGCTTCCATTTTGCATGCCCCAATAACCCATCCATCTTTAACTTATATTGATTTACGCCCCCACACTTTGTACTATGAATTTACATGTGTCGAAAAACCTCAAATCCCAACTCAACTAATATGTTGCAACATGCATGTGCTCCAGGGACGGAGCCAGCATTTGAAAATAGGGGGGGCCAGAAATAAAAGATAATAAACAAAAATAAAATAAATTATTAATTGTATTTTAACAGTGCACGACGTTCTTTAAGATCACTGAAATCACTCAAAATAGCGTCTAAACTGAAAGTTTCTGCAATCTCTCGCTCAATAAAGATAACTAAATTATCAGCTAGAAAATCATCATTCATCTTGTTCCGCAGCCTATTCTTCACTATCTTCATAGCTGAAAATGCGCGTTCTCCTGTGGCAGTTGAAACCGGAAGAGTCAAAATAAGACGAATCAACCTATCAACAAGGTTAAATTCCTTGGACTTTCCTGTCACTGCTAAACCATGACACAACTCAGCAAGTGATGATAGATTTTGGAGTTTAGGATGAGTAGGAGCATCAGCATGAAAATGCTTCAATTCGAACTTCAAGTCATCTAAGTCCTTTTCTGAGAAATCAAGAGGGTAGTACTTCTCAGCAAGATCACAAATAGCACCAATGTTGAAAGCTTTATAACCATCCCGAGGATCCAAACTCGAGCTAAGCTTCAGGAGTTCAAGTACTTTGTCATCGAACCTTGCTCGTATTTCTTCTATCTGAACATCAATAGCAGCATTGAACACATCAAAATGATAAAAGTGCTCATTTGTGATACCATCTCGTCTTCGTCGACTTTCGTAATGTGGAGCACTAAGATCAGGAACATTGATATCATGTTTTTGACAAAACATTGTGACTTTTGCCAACAAAGAATCCCAATCTTCATTCCTCATTTGGTTCAGCAACTTTGTAGTAGTCTCCACTGCCCTCATTGCATTTACAATGTCTTGAGACTTACGTTGCAAAGCTTTGCAAAGCAAATCTGTGGTGCTTAGTATATCCTTCATCATATGCAAAATGAAGATGAACTCGAATGATTCCATAGTTCTCAAAGCTGTACTAGCATCCCCCCTTGTTTTGTAGTGAGCACAATCATTACTTATGTTCTCCAAAACACGGCAACTTGGACCATACAAATGGATAAGGCTAGCCACAGAACTCAAATGTGAACTCCATCGAGTATCACAGGCTCTTTGTACATTCCGAATCTGATTGGCACCTTTTCCTGACTCAATTTCACCTGATGCTAGCTTTTGTGCATAATCATCTTCTTGAAACTCTTCTAACTCATCAAGGCGCCTCGTGGAACCAGTAATAGCAGTCACAACTCTCGGTAACTTTGTGAAAAACTCATTTACCCTATCCACTTCTCTAGATGCTGCAACCAAAGATAGTTGAAGACGATGAGCCATACAATGCACATAATACGCCTGGGGAAAATCCTTCAAAAACAGTGCCTGCAATCCCTTCCATTCACCATGCATGTTACTAGCACCATCATATCCTTGTCCACGAAGATTCTGAAGGGAAAACTTATGAGAAGCAAGAGTTGAGCAAATAGCAGAGTGCAAAGTCTTTGATGTTGTGTCTTTGACATGTACCAGATTGAGGAAGCGCTCTTGAATAAGTCCTTTAACATCAACAAAACGAAGAATGATGGCCATTTGTTCATGTCTGCTTTCATCACTTGCTTCATCCACAATGATTGAAAATTTAGAATCTCCAATGTCTTCAAAAACTTGCTTCCTGATTTTCTTGGCTAAAACATGCAAGATTTGCTTTTGAACCTCATGAGATGTGTACTTTGCATTCTTTGGAGCATTCTCCAACACCACACTATTTACTTCTTCACTATAAAAACGTGTGTACTTGAGCAACTGAATAAAGTTCCCTGGATTCTTTGAATCAGCAGTCTCATCCCGACCTCTAAAAGCAACCCCTTGCAATGCCAAATAACGGACAGCATCTATTGAGGTTTTCACTCGAGTAATATTCTTCTTTATTTCTTCAGAACTTTGTTTCTTCATGGCTTTGTCAATGTGCCCCGGTTGATTCATTAAAGCATGACAGTTCCTCACAGCATTGTTGTGATGAGAATTTGGACTATCTCCAATATGTTTCCTGAAAGAACAATCTGCCCCACTCTTTACCTTTTTCCAATTCTGGAAGCCCTCGTTTGCAAATGTGTCTCTGCCAAATTGAGCATTTGGCTTTTCTGTAAAAAGATAGCATGGAAGACAATATGCAGCATCCTGTGCTTCTGAATATTCAAGCCAAGAGAATTCAGAGTACCATGAACTTTGAAAGGGTCGAAGATGTCCTGGAGGCCCAGATTTAGGAAACTTAGGAAGTACAACTTGATAAGGGCCAGCACTCCAATAATCCCTTCTTATCTCATCACGCCTATTAACTGGATATGTCCATATTGGTTGACGTAATCCAGGATCTCGTTCTAGAGAATCAGATGATGAATTGCCAACTCTCAAATTGATAGGAGACTCCTCATTCACATTCTGATTCTCAATAATAATAGGAGACTCCTCCTCAACTGTAGAGTTCAAAGCACCATGTACTCCTTCTAGATCAACATCCCTTTTTGTTAACACACTTCTTTGAAAATATGAAGTAACCCTTTTCTGTTTGTTCTTCATTTTTCCAGAATGGATGAAGCTGAAAACATTCACAATGCAAGTTAGATATCTACGCTATCAAACAAATTGTCAATAACAATAACTCAATTTTAATTATCAAATATCAATCACAATATCACACAACATCAATTTTCTTTAATAAAATAAATATTTGTGTTCTTACTGATCTTAATAGTTAATGGTTAAAGAAATACAAATAAAACACATACTTACATGGGTTCGCAAGAAAAGTTGCTGCCTACCAGAGAAAAGGGAGAGTCGCCGGTGACGGGTCGTTGCAGAAATCGGGAGCAACAATAGAAGCCAGCAGTCCGATCCTCAGGCAGAGTCGCCGCCTGTCGGAGATAAAGCAGTGAAAGGAGAAAGATCAAAACTTTGGATTGGAAAAGGGGTCGTTTCTATTTGGTTTAGGGCTGCAATTTTTGTTCTGCAGCAGCCGCCAGCCAGCAGTGTACCGCCAACTAAAGAAAGAAGCATAAGGGTTTCAATTGGGGAAGAGGAATCGATTTTGTCTGGTGTGGGTGGGGCTGGGATTTTTTGCTTTAGTCTAGGATCCATACAAAAATAAAAAACTTAAGTTAAAAGGGCATAGTCTCACATGGGAGTTATTTATTAAAATTTTATTTGTCAGTTGTCACGTGGTGGAGCTGTCCTGATGTCCAAGTGAATTGATTAACACAAAAAATCAACACAAAAAATATAGTTAATAGGGAATCGAACCACTGATCCTTTTCTTCCTTTGAATTATAGAATCAACACCATCACCACTATGCCACGAGATTTTCCTTGTACATATTTACACATGCCTAATTCTCTATTAATTCTTAAAATTTTAGGGGGGGCCATGGCCCCCCCTTCACCAACGTTGGCTCCGTCCCTGATGTGCTCCAAAACTGAAGTCTTGATATCAGGCCAGCTTGTGGGCTAAGTATTTGCAACTACTTAGGTACTTGTTTGTTCTTTGGAAGACAACTCACGAAACAAGCCATAATCTCCGAGTCTTCCTCTGAAGCAGATCGAGTTCGGTCTGTTGCTCATGTGTATGCTGGTCCTTGAAGAAATGAAGCTTTTGTTATTCGTTTCGCGGAGATGAAAAGACAAATGATGAATTTTTGTGGGCTGTGCATGTTAGAGGTTATAGTACCAAAATGTAATTAACCCATAGGTTTAATAGGCGGCCAATATATATATATATGTTGTGTAGCCGCCATATTGAGGTAATCTGTACCGGAATAGTACTAAAAACTCTCTGCCTTGTGCCACGGACTAGTCTCAACGTTCAACGTTGAGGAAACCACGTAAATTCGGTGTTTGTTCTTGTGATTGATTATGTGTTTATTGTCATGGTATCAGAGACTCTCAATCTCTAACTTCCGTGGTCTGCGCTTGTGCTCTTGTGGTTGTTGTGCCGATTCTATATTCGTGGGTTTCGCGGGGCTTGGTCACTGTGCCGATTCTGTATTCGTGAGTTTTGTGGGGCTTGTCCGCCGCTTTCTGTGTTATTGGCCTCTTGGGAATTTTGCTTGGATCTTGTACGTGTTTTGTCCGCCGCTTTCTGTGTTATTGGCATCTTGGGAATTTTGCTTGGATTTTGTACGTGCTTTGTTGCGGGAGTTCTTCTTTGGCACTCGACTATGGAGGGACAAAAGGGAGACGTTATTGTCGTTCGATTCAATGGTAAGAATTTCGCGCTTTGGGAATTTCAGTTCCGGATTTATGTTCAGGGTCGTCGTTTGCGTGGAATTCTGGATGGTTCGATCCCGGAGCCTGCGGCGGATGCGTCCGCCAAGGTCAAGGAGGATTGGGCGGTGAACAACGCTTCGGTTATGTCTATATTGTTGAGTTCAATGGATCCAGGTATTTCCTTAAGTCTGCGTGGGTTCTCTACAGCAGCTGATATGTGGCGGCATCTCTCCGCGTTGTATTCGAAGGCTAGCGCATCTCGTAAATTTGATGTGGAACTGGATCTTGCGAATTTGAAACAAGGTGATCGTGATGTGAGCACCTACTACCAGGATGAAATGACACTTTGGACTGAACACGACCTGTTGCTGACTTCCTTGGTGCCAACAGCTGCCTCGACAGATGTCATTCACGAGCGAGCTGCATCCCGGGTTATGCGGTTTTTAATGAACTTGTGTGCTGAGTTTGAGGGCATCCGCGCCTCTCTTCTTCATTGTTCATACGGATATCTGGGGGCCCTCTCATGTGACCTCTCGTCTTGGCTTCAGATATTTCTCTCTATTTGTTGATCATGCTACGAGATATGTGTGGGTATATTTTCTCCGGAAGAAGTCTGATCTTCTCTCTGCAGCCAAGGAGTTCTTTCAGATGGTTTCTACGTAGTTCGGTCGGGAGGTAAAGATTCTTCGGTATGATCCAGGTGGGGAATTCACCTAAAATCCCCTCCAGGTTGTGCTAAAAGAACGCGGTATTCTTGCTCAACCGTCGTGTCCGGGGGTCTCACAGCAGAATGGGGTGGTTGAGCGCAAGAACCGACATGTGCTAGAGCTTACTAGAGCTATTCTATTTCATTCACAGGTGCCGACTGGATTTTGGGTTGAGGCGGTTCATACTATTGTTTATTTGATTAATCGTCAGGTTACACCCATTCTCCAACAGCGAAGTCCCTATCAAGCTCTCTTTTCTCGCATTCCTGAGTATGGTCGGCTGCGTGTCTTCGGCCATATGTGCTATGTTCTATTGAGTCAACGTGAACGGAATAAACTTACTCCCAAGGCTGCAAAGTGTGTATTTCTCGGCTATAGTGAGAAACATAAGGGGCATGTGTGTTATGACGTGGCCAGCCGCCGAGTCTGTATTTCTTGCCATGTTGTTTTCCTAGAGCATCATTTCTACTATGGTTCGGCGGATTTGGCCTCGACTTCATCTTCTCAGCATCTCGATTTCTTACTACCTGTTGAGGACGATCTTGTAGCAGACACCCCAAATGCGAGCTAAGCTTCCTCCTCTAGTGATGATTCTGATTCGAGTGACAGCTCTCCTACACCCGCAAGTTCATCATCCAGTTCCTCCTCATCGCCCTTGGATAATACCAGTCCTCACATCTCCACGTCAACTTCGAGTTTTTCCTCATCCAGCTCCGGACCTTCCTTTGTTGACAATAGTCAGTCAACTCAAGCATCCACCTCGCATGAATCTGTCTCTTTTCAACTTGAGGAAGCTGCAGCTCCCCAACTTCGTCGGTCTGATCGTGCGAATAAAGGGAAGCCTCCAACTCGCCATTCTAATTTTGTGGCATTTTCTACTCCATCTATTATAGTCCCTGCAACATATAAACAAGCTAAAGGACATGCGGAGTGGGAACGTGCTATGATGGTGGAGAGTGAGGCTCTTGATGTTGCCCATACATGAGACTTGGTTCCTCGCCGGCCTGAGTATCCAGTAATTGGCAGTAAATGGGTCTACAACATCAAGATGTTTCCTGACGGCACGATAGAGCGGCATCAGGCTCGGGTGGTAGCACAGAGATTTCGACAAGCGTATGGTATTGATTATGAGGAGACCTTTGCTCGCGTAGCAAAGATGCAGACTGTTCGCAGCTTGCTAGCTGTGGCCGCAATGAAAGGCTGGCCGATAACTCAATTGGATGCGAAGAACGCATTTCTGCACGGTGATCTCAAGGAGGTAATTTATATGGAACGACCGCCGTGATATACTAAAGGTGAAAGCTCTATGGTTTGTCGTCTTCGTCGATCTCTGTATGGTCTTAAGCATGCTCCACGAGCATGGTTTGAAAAGTTTCAGGAAACGATTCTGCAGGCTGGTTTTGTTCAGAGCAACAGTGATCCCTCTCTTTTCCTGCGGACTACAGCTCGAGGGCTCACAGTTCTCTTAGTATATGTGGATGATATGGTTGTCAGTGGTGATGATGTTGAAGAAATTCGTGAGGTAACTCAAGTTCTGCGTTCAACCTTCAACTTGAAAGAACTTGGCAACCTTTCTTACTTCTTGGGCTTAGAAATTCATCGTTCACCGTTGGGTATTTATGTTGGCCAACGTAAGTACGTGTTGGACTTACTCGAGGAGGCGCAAATGGATACATGTACTCCATGTGTCACTCCTATGGAAAAGAATCTCAAGCTGCAATAGGCTGAGGGAGAGGTCTTACCAGATGGGTCGTCGTATCGCAGCATAGTCGCCAGTCTGATATACTTGACTCACACCCGTCCCGATATATCTTATGCAGTACAAATGGTTAGTCAATTTGTGTCAGCTCCGCCGTCCACTCATTGGTCTGCAGTTCAGCGTATTCTCTGATATCTTAAGGGTACCACCGATGTGGGGTTGCTATTTCCGGCAGGGGGCAAACCAGTTCTTGAGGCGTATGCTGATGCAGACTACGCTGCCTGTTTGGATACTCGTCGTTCGACTTCGGGGTAGTGTGTGAAAATAGGTGATTCGTTCATTTCATGGCAGTGCAAGAAACAAGACAGGGTATCAAAATCATCTACTGAGGCTGAGTATCGGTCGATGAGTGAAGTGTCGTTTGAGATTACATGGCTTTGTCGGCTCCTAGCTGAACTCGGGGTAGTGGTGCGCCGTCCAGTGAGATTACATGTTGATAATACTAGCGCGATTCGCATAGCCACTAATCCTGTTCTACATGATAGGACGAAGCACATCGAGGTACACGTTCATTACATTAAGCAATTGGTGACTGAAGGTACTGTTGAGCTTGCATATATTACGTCAGAGGATCAGACGACTGATTTATTGACTAAAGCAGTTTCATCTGCTCGTCATTGGTTTCTAGCACACAAATTGATTTTGCGTAAGCACCATCAATTTGAGGGAGGGTGTTAGAGGTTATAGTACCAAAATGTAATTAACCCATAGGGTTAATAGGCGGCCAGTATATATATGTTGTGTAGAGCTCTCTGGCTTGTGCCGTGGATTAGTCTCAACGTTCAACGTTGAGGAAACCACGTAAATCCGGTGTTCGTTCTTGTGATTGATTGTGTGTTTATTGTCAGTGCAAAATATCATGTGCCCGCGCTGAACATCTCTGAAATAGCAGTTCAATTGTTCCCTCTCGCTGCTGCATTCAGGGCTACATTGGACACACACATTGCTGACATAAATAATAAATAGAAAGACAAAACCATCAACTTTGACATTTTCTCCCCCCACCCATTGAAGACAAGACAAACAAACTACTAATCAACTACAAAGTAATTGTATATGGTCATTTGTGTTTTCATTAAGCTAAACTATCATGAGATATTACAAGTTATTGTCAATACTCAAATTGACGACCACCAATGTTAAAGTGGATCGACAAGGTTTAGAGGAAATTATCATCATCAACGAGTTTAATTAGTTTAATGTTCATGTTTAGTCTAGACTTTCATTTGAGTTGTGTTTTTATCTTTGTTGTTCTCCAAAAGCAAGCTGGTACGATTTGTCTTGTAGTGTCAAGTTTGAGTATGTAAACCAAAGTATAAATGAGAAACACCCAAGCTACTAGGGTTCCATTTCACAACTCATATTTGTTGTTATAAACATTCATATATCATTCAAACACAGATCATGCTTCATTTCCAAAATTCCATAATTAGTACGGGGTGGGGATCAAGTCACATTGTTATAAATACGGAATGGTAGGTTGTGAAAATCTACCAACAAGGGCTTGACCTGATGATAGTACCACTAGGTAAGAATTAACCTATATTACTGTTATGGGACAATCCAAGTACCACATCAGAAATACAAGGGAAGGAACCATTGTATATAAGTGTCAACCAAGCTCATTTGTACGAGGAGTTTTTGGGAGGACAGCCAAGAGTAAAACTGTGCGGGCTTGGCCCAAAGCGGTTAATATCATACTAATGGATCGAGCAGCCCGATTTGTGACAAGTGGCATCAAAGCCTGGTTCGGTTCGGGGCAGTTGACGTCAGCTTGGTGGACCCACATTCGGTGACCTCGGGATTTGAGATCTGCGTTTGTCTGGCGAGTTAAAGATGACTCGCGTCTGTTTGGTGGATCCAGGAGAGATTCACATTTGGGCTTTGACGGATCAAAGAGAGTTCCGCATTTAGGAAGTAGATTAAAGCGAATTATGCGTCTGGTAAAGTCCTTGTACCGAGAAGCCCATCGATACAAGGCGTCTGGTAGGCTTTGGCGGATCAAAGATAGTTCTGCATTTGGGAAGCAGATCAAAGAGAGTTCTGCGTCTGGTAAAGTCCTTGTACCGAGAAGCCCATCGATACAAGGCGTCTGGTAGATCAAGATAATTCCTTAGGTGAGGACATGAAGTTCGTGGTCCTTGTCTTGAGGGCAGGTTTGTTATGGGACAATCCAAGTACCACATCGGTAATACAAGGGAAGGAACCCTTGTATATAAGTGTCCACCTAGTCCAATTAGTACGAGGCCTTTTGGGGAGGACACTCAAGAGTAAAACCGTGCGGGCTTGCCCCAAAGCGCACAATATCGTACTAATTGAGCATCCCAGTTATGACAAGTGGTATCAGAGCCTGGTTCAGTTGGGGGCGCTGGACATCAGTTTGGTGGGACTCTTATTCGGTGACCTTGGGATTTGAGATCTGCGTTTGTCTAGCGGGTCAAAGGTGATTCGCGTATGTTTGGTGGATCCAGGAGAGATCTGCGTCTGGGAAAAATCCTTGTACCGAGAAGCCCATTGATACAAGGTGTCTGGCGGATCAAGATAATCGCTGAGGTGACGACACGAAGTTCGTGGTCCTTGTCTTGAGGGGATAAAGAAAAATTCTTGTATCGAGAAGCCTATCGATACAAGGTGTCTGGCGGATCAAAAAAAATCCTTGTACCCAGGAGCAGAAAAATCCTTAGTACGTGGTGGGATTAAGTCACATTGTTATAAATACGGAATGGTAGGTTGTGAAAATCTACCAATAAGGACTTGGTTTGATGATAGTACCACTAGGTCGGAATTAACCTCTATTACCATTATAAAAAAAATTATTAGACTGAATGATTTTGATTTACCGTTTTATTGGTGGTCACTAAGAAATATTTTTCCAAATGATAGGTTGTGTAAATTAAATTATGAAATTGAATCTCTCTGCTCTCAGTTCCTTTGGAGTGAATTTGCAAAGAAGAAGAAAGCTAAAGTCTCTTGGAAACAGGTTGCTTTGCCCAAAACTGAGGGTGGTATGAGGTTTAAGGATTTGTATTCCTGGAATAAAACTTGTCTAGCTCGTCATATCTGGGGGCTTCTAGCTAATCAAGACACGCTTTGGATTGCTTGGATCAAGGAATATCGGCTTAGGAACCTGAGTATATGGGAAATAAGTACCAGAGGGTCTTGGGGAATAAAATACTCAAACTTAGAGCAGAATTCTCAGGAAAATTGTGCAAGACAGATCAAGGGTGCTTTGGGAGGGTGAGAAGTTGTCTCGGTTCCAGATTAGCAAAATTTGGCACAACATAAGACCAAATGATGAATATGTGAACTGGTCTAAACTAGTGTGGCAGAGTGGCATCCCAAAAAATTTAGTAATCACATGGCTAGTTATGATTGACAGAATAGTAACTCTGAATGTGGTGAAACGTTGGAATCCAAAAGTTGATCTAAAGTGCCCTCTCTGTGGCCAAGAGCCTGAGTCAAGGGGCCATATTTTCTTTTTGTGTAAGTATGTGCAGGAAGTTTGGTCTGTCGTGTTCCCAGAGCCATGGTCTTTCCCAATTTCAAGAACCTTGCAGCAGGCAGTACCAGCAGCATGCCAGAAGTTCAAAAA